GCTCCATTGGTGGATGCCAGGGTATCCTCCAGCACCCACGGGAGCTCAGCAGGACGGCTGCAATGGGGCACGCTTGGGGTGCTGCAGTTTGGGACTCAACCAGGGGATGCTGCTGCTCTTCCTTGACCCTCAGCCCCACGGGACCCCTGCCCCCGCACCCCACGGCGAGGAGCCAGGGGCAGTCACGAGACCAGGAGCCCTTTTTTTTTCAGCGTTAGTGGATAATCACAGAGCCGGAGTGAAAAGCATCTCCAACGCAGCTGGAGAGAGCGGGCACGGGAATTGCTGATACCCAGATATTTCCTGCAGCTTCAGACAGTTAACAAACAAACCGCACGGGCCCTTCTGGCTCAGGAAAAACAACTCGGGGACCACGCGCGGGCAACAGGCCCCAAAAAGCCTCGTCCTCCCCCTTTGGGGCCGGTTCCTGTTGGCACGCTGAGCCACTGCAGCTCCCACCGCGGCGCCCGACGGAGCCGGCGCGTTTACAAATTCTGTAAGACATTCAAGTGATTTATGTAAATCGCTTTTTAAAGCGGCACATGGGTTCCTAAATAACTTATAAGCGTTTGAAACTGCTCGCGTGTATCCATTATTTCCGAGCGGCGATTCACCTCCAGCATCCCAGTGGCGTTGTCCCTACCTGTATCATCTGCAAGTTCCCCGCCGGGCTCACTCTCCACGTCGGCCCCTTTCTGCTGTCAAACACCAGCATCGTTTGACCCCAGAGGTTGCATCATTTTCCAGACGAGCGAAGCAAACCCGGTGGGACATGGGCTGCCTGCTGCAAAATAATTGGAGGTGATGGAGCAGAGGAGCAGTCACGGCCGGGACCGCAGCCGTTTGCTGGCACTGGCTCGGCTCTCCCGGGAAGCGTGGCAAGTTGGGAGCACCCCGACTCCGTCAGCTCACCGGTACCTCGGAAGCTTTCCCGTATCATGGTATTTTGCTCAAAGCAAATCATCCAGAAAGCAGCCGTGAGCTGTTTAGCCCTCAGGCGTGGAGCAGAGGTGCCAGCGGGCGTTGCTCCGTGGCTGCTTCCTTTCCCCAGCCTCATCCAAGCTTTTCCGGGCACGGGGTGCGGGCAGGAGAATTGGGGATCCCTCGGTTCACTCTGTGCTGACACCAAGACGGAGATGGCCACTCTCATCCAGAGCCAGACACATATCACACTCGTTCTGCAGTGGGACAGTGACATTGAACCCGCCACAATCTTGGCCGAACCGTCGCAGAAGAGGGTCAGGAACAAGCGGACAAGGACACCGGCATCGGGCACGGCACAGCGGGTGGCCAACGCGGGCCTTCATGGGCGCCCCTGCCACCGAGCAGGTAAATCATTTAACACCTCGAACTTCCCAGCACGGAGCAACCGCGCTGCCACCCAACTGGGAAACGAGAGAGGAGGATGTGCAGGATCAGGGTCAGGATCAGGTGGGGGTCACTGCATCCCTGGCCATGCCCAGGGGCAATGCCCACCCTCAGTTCACCCTGCACAGCAGCACTGGGCACTACTGGAGGCATGCACCCCCAAAGTGCTTTGCGCACCCAGACACACCGTGCACACCCAGGACACTGCACACCCAGACACGCCGTGTACACCCGGGGCACTTTTCACACCCGGCCACACTGTGCACCCCCAAAGAATTGCACACCCGGACACGCTGTGCACACCCAGAGCGCTTTGCACACCCGGAGGTGTCGCACC